CCCACAGTTGGTCCAGCACAGGCTGCTGGGGACCCATTCTAACCCTGAATCCCCACAGTAGGACCAGCACAGGTTGCTGGGGACCTATTCTAACCCTGAATCCCCACAGTAGGACCAGCACAGGTTGCTGGGGACCTATTCTAAACCTGAATCCCACAGTAGGACCAGCACAGGTTGCTGGGGACCTATTCTAAACCTGAATCCTCACGGTAGGACCAGCACAGGTTGCTGGGGACCTATTCTAAACCTGAATCCCTGGTAACCCTGCACAGGTTGCTGGGCACCTATTCTAACCCTGAATCCTCACCAGCACAGGTTGCTGGGGACCTATTCTAATCCTGAATCCCCACAGTAGGACCAGCACAGGTTGCTGGGGACCTATTCTAAACCTGAATCCTGACAGGTTGCTGGGGACCTCCCTGGTCCCCACAGTAGGACCAGCACAGGTTGCTGGGGACCTATTCTAACCCTGAATCCTCACAGGTAGGACCAGCACAGGTTGCTGACCTATTCTAAACCTGAATCCTCCTGGTAGGACCAGCACAGGTTGCTGGGCACCTATTCTAAACCTGAATCCTCCTGGTAGGACCAGCACAGGTTGCTGGGCACCTATTCTAAACCTGAATCCTCCTGGTAGGACCAGCACAGGTTGCTGGGGACCTATACTAAACCTGAATCCTGGTAGGACCAGCACAGGTTGCTGGGCACCTATACTAAACCTGAATCCAGCACAGGCTGCTGGGACCTATTCTAAACCTGAGGATCCACAGGCTGCTGGGACCAGCACAGGCTGCTGGGGACCTATTCTAAACCTGAATCCTCACGGTAGGACCAGCACAGGCTGCTGGGGACCTATTCTAAACCTGAATCCTCACGGTAGGCCCAGCACAGGTTGCTGGGGACATATACTAATCCTGAATCCTCCTGGTAGGACCAGCACAGGTTGCTGGGGACCTATTCTAAACCTGAATCCTCACGGTAGGACCAGCACAGGTTGCTGGGGACATATACTAATCCTGAATCCTCACGGTAGGACCAGCACAGGCTGCTGGGGACCTATACTAATCCTGAATCCTCCTGGTAGGACCAGCACATGGCCTTTTCTCACCCTGAATCCTCACGGTAGGACCGGCACAAAAGGAGTCACAGAGGACACTCTCAATTTTGGGGGGTTAACTGGGGGGTCACAGACAAGTGTACATTGTGTGTTCTGTGTCTGTCAAGGTGATGTTTTTGAAGTACAGAACGTTGTGATCTTGTGAATAGATGGAGAGTAGAAGGTCATGATCTGCTGTCTCACCTTAAATGATGTTACTTGTTGTTTCCCTGCCTGGTTCTTGGCATTAGTGAGTGAGATGAGTTTAGTTTTCAAGGATTGGCAATATTCCAGCAATATCACGGTGGACACCAGGGGCTTAACACATTGTACCCATGTGGGGAATCGAACCCTGGTCTTCGGTGTGGTATCAATGTTAACCACTGTGGGAGATGGAAACAAGAATCTAGTTCATGCTTAGTATATCGAGTGGAGTATCAATGTTACACTGTGGAATGGAATCTAGTTAGCTTGTACTATAAACTGACATTAGTCTAGACAAGTTCAAGCAGCCCGATTGTTAAAAATGGTCATTGGACAGATTTTTCTTTTGACCAATATATTTAAGCTTGAAGTGTCATAATTTAATTCAGTTTAATTTTTTTTAGTTTTTTTGTATTTACTTAATTATTGATCATGAAGGTGAGATTTGGAATTTGAAAACATAAATCACCTGATTGTTGAGTTGTTTATCATCAGCTGGTGACACATTTTAATGAGATGACTGAGTTCCAGTATGCTGGGCATCCAGAACGAATGTCCATGATGATTTGTTGTTATTTGTGAATCAAGACTTGTTTTTTTGTGTACATGTTGTGTGAGATTGTATATTTTGCAACTGATATGATGTATGTACATTGTTTTCATTGTGCAGTAAAGTGAATCTGTCAAGTCTTTGTTTGTGGATTATTTCTGTAGATGCAAACATGAATACACAATTCCATTAGAAAGTGTTTTATATGAAACATGTTATATTTGGGATTACACTTTCTCATCAAGGTACAGCTTCTATTACTGTTGTCCCATCTAGCCCAATCCGGGATTCCCAGGTTTGACTCAAACAAAAGTAGAAGAATCTGTGCTTTACTGAGAAAGTGTAATCCCAAATTTAACATGCTACAGATGCATACACTATTTGCATTCGGGAGGTAGTGATGGTCCACAGAGCGGGTCCTCATTTGGGAAAAATGTGCCTATGTAAAGTTTATTTTGAAATGAATCAGTGCATTTTCAATACATATTCATGACAACATCACATCCACTTCCATATTGTGATTCCCTTCCTGCACATGCATCACACATTTTACTCAGGGTACAATCCACAAATTACATGTTTCCGGAGCATAACTCAAACACCCTTCAATTTTTTTCAACAAAAGTGGTGCCTTTTGCTATTTACAGATTTAATAATAACCAGTTTTATATGTCAATCAGAAATGTTGTTATAAGCTGTGGAAGCTTTGGGATGTGGACGTTTTGGAAGGATACGGGTGGCTGTCTTTCTTGTGAACTTTCGCAGCTTTTTCGATGAATAGATAGAGATACGATGACTTGATGCATAATTTAAGATGTGTTTCATATGCCTCACTGTTGCAACAACTTCCATAGCATATATGTATCCTTCTGGAAAACAATATTCATAACACGCTAAACGGCTTCCTTTGAGACAGTCTGAATTCAGAATAAACGTGTGTTTACAAACAACAGAAAAATGCAGTCACGTGATATGCAAATTCATTAGAGACTGGTATCCCGACCCTCCGCTTGATAGTACACATCTAGTGAAGAACGAATCGGTACCAGTCAAGCCTGTGGCTAAGTCAATGTGTTATATAACATGTGAAGACTGAAGACATTGTGGAACGTGCAAATTCGTAAACTGGTTTCCGGCTCCGTGTGCGCGTCGTCAACTTCCTTGGTTTTCCCGACGATGATTTAGCATAACATTCTCGGCTGGCCGCACGGAACGCTGGGTAGCAGTGGGGTTTTCAAACAAGACACGCGTTTCTGCATCGGCTGCTCGAACCGATTGATTCACGTAGGTATTAGAGTATTAATACTATTCAGCATTTCTTTATTAGTTATACCATTAAACTTATTTGATTTACTTACGTATCAGACCAAGAAAAGAAATGCGAGAGTGTTTTGAACAACACGACAACGCAAACATGTATGATATGTGAGCCGTCCTCTGTCTCCAGTCTAGCTTGAAGTCGTTGATCTTGTAGGTTATGTTTACAGATATTTCTTAAACATATGCTTTTGGTAGGGTATTTCAGGGAACGTGTGAGACGTTGCCTTTGTTCTCTACTTGTTTGCAACCTGTGTTGCGACAATCCAAAGCGCACCTGTCTCTTTTAGTGTGAGGTCGTAACACCAATATTAGTGATTTCCCTAGAATATTGTGTTCATACAGTTCCCAAATTATTTTGTTTGTTTATTGGTTACGCCCGCCCATTTTAGCCATATGAAACTATGTATATAATCAAACCTTGACCAGACATTTCAGTGATTGATAGTATGAGCAGCGGCCTAAGAGGGTTACGATGACATGTGTTAACTAGGCCAGCTGTCCTGACGACCCAATCCCACAATCAAGTTGATTTACGGCGTAGTTATAGTGGATCCTGTTGTTCCATGTTGTTTCCCAAGTTGAAATGATAAATTTAACCAGGAATGAGTCCCCAAAAGAATTCAATTTGTCACTATTCGTGTGAGGTTGTGCCAATACCACATAACACTGTTTACGCAATGTGCATTCCTCTCATCCAGACTGCATGGTAAACTCAACAAAATGTCACAAACTAAAAAGATAAATTTCATCCATATATCCCTATGTTTACATATTACCCCAACTTCTAAGTGCCACTGAAATAATTGGTTGTCATGTGTAATTTTCACATACTCACTTACTCACTTTACAAATAATCTAAATATTTCACTGTGTTTACAAATATTTGTCCATTTACTTAATTGTAATTTGTTCATTTGGTAAAATAGTCTGATCAACCTCAGCATACACAAAGCTTACATGTAAGCCTTGCTTCCTGAATGATTGGCATTAGCCCATTACATTGTAAACGTGCAATTTCACATTTACCCTGAAGAAACTCTTCCCTCATTTAAAATCGTTATTCATCAATTCTGTAGCTGATGACACAAATATTATGGTTTGTCAATTACATCACTACTGTTTGTGTCTACATCACTCCACATGAGTACAGCAACATTATTTGGTTTGAATAATTGAAATACAGTTTAAATAAATGTACAACCGGTACTTTCATGTGTTCCCTTATTCGTTTCCACGAATATATTTATCTGCAATTCAAACCTGTGTGCCCCTGGCATGCAATTTGGAATTTGCAACAGATTTGAGGCCAGACATCTCCCTTTGAGCAGATCCTTATAAATTCCTGTACTGATCTTCTACAAATATTCTTTTTGTAATAGTTATCTTGACTGTTTCACATCCATAATCCATATACTCCTGTATATCAGTGTGAAAATGAAGGGGAAAAACTAGGGTCACTCACTGCCCAGTGAGTCTATACTTCATCAAATTCACTTATTTACACTCTGACCACTGCCATATACTATAGTAGCTGGAATATTGCTGAGGGTGGCATAAAACTAAACTCACTCCCTCTTTACACTCTGAACAAAGTTTATCATAAGTTGTCGTGTTCAACATTGGAATTACATTTAGCGTACTTCAGAATATAATTCCTTAGTTATATTTGTTTACAGGCACATTGAAAGAGACCTGCTATGCCTCGACTGTCTAAAGAACAGAGAGAGGAAGTGAAGGAAATGCTGGACAAAGGTTGCTCCCAGACTGAAATTTCTAAAAAAATGAAAACATCTCAGAGTACAATTCACCGATTAATCAGTAGGTTAAAAACAACAGGGTCAACTGATGACCTGCCACGTACAGGGCGACCTCGGGTCATCCCAACCCAAGATCAGTCATGGCTGGAGTGTGCTGGCGAGGAGAGACCCTTTGTTTGTACAGAGTGTGGTAAAACGTTATAAACACTTCCACAATCTCAGGTACCATTTAAAGACTCATGGAGACAAACTTCAATACCAGTGTGATCAGTGTGGCCACGGTTTTATTAGTTCTACTACTTTCAAGCGACACATGCGCATTCATACTGGAGAAAAACCTTATATTTGTGAATACTGTGCTCGAGGTTTTGCTGACTTGTGCACAATGAAGACACACATTCGTACTCACACGGGAGAACGTCCTCACAAATGTCACCTTTGTGGCAAGGCCTGTACAACAGCTGGCAATCTCCACGCTCATATGAAGGTGCACAGAGATAAGAAAGGAGGGGAGGTACCCCGTCCCTTATTCGTGAAACCCCCTAGGTACAAATCTATCCCTGTCTTTCCACACATGGCACTGTTGAAAGCTAGAAACCAACAAGTACTGAAAGAAGAGTCAGATATTGCTGAAGCATTTGATGAAGATAAGACTGCCAAAGAAGAGGATGTATCTAATGAGGACGGCCTTGAGGACCACCAACATCAGGACAATCCACATGGGCTCAGTGTGAACATGTCTTCCAGTTTTGTAACTGAATTTCAAGAGGATCTGCCAGCAAAAATTGAACAAAATCCTGATGGTTTTGAGGATAATCTGTCCTCTGATAAACCTAAAGACATGGACTTTCAGAAGAGGTTCTGTCAAGCAATTGCAGCATCTTCAAAATTTCAACTGCCTATTCCTGTTGACCATATCAAGAAAGAACCTGATTTTGAGGAAGAGATGAACTGATGTGGCTGTTCCCTGAATGCCAAACATTTTTCTTGTCATGTGTGTCTAGGTCTGAGTGACTGCAATAGGCTGTAGTCTTGTAGTTCCATGCTTGTGGGTTTCTTTAAGGAACATGATCTGCATTACTGAGAATGTAGTCCAATATTAAGCTGAGAATATAACAGAGACAACCTCTGTAGTCTAGTGGAAAACAGCCCCTCCCAGAGAGAGGAAGGTCGATGGTGTGCCCCATACCACACTACATTAAAGGTGATACCTGTTGTTGCTAGTGATGGGAATTGGTTCAAATCCATAATTGGTGACTATCAATCACTGAAAATAATTGGTTAGTGTCATTTATCAAATCTTCCTGTTACGGTTGCCTCTGCAAATTTCACATCTTTAAAGGATGACTAGTATGTTAGGAACATAAATATCCTTGAGTCTTTAAGATAAATTCAATCATGACTTGGAAATAGCTTGTAGTGCTAATGAAATGTAAATTTAAAGGATGGGGTGCAAACCTCCAAAACCCTGTGGGTTTCCAAATAGTCTCCCTTTGCTACCCCTCAGCAGTGAAGATGTTATCAGCCCGTGAGTGACAAGGCTGTTGGGCTGGGTGCCTGGTGATGTCAAAGCTTAACCTTGGAATTTACTACTAGAATAAACATGAGCCTTAAAGTAAATGTCCAACAACCCTTTCACTTCATATTTTGATGACTAATGAGATTAATTTGATTAGCATATATGAAACATCACTTTTTACTTATATTCTGAATATAAAATCTTCAGCAAAGAGATGTCAGCATCAGATAAGTGGACAACCCTAGCCCTGCACAGCATGGTGTCGGGGGAGTGGGAGAGGGGGGCATTTTCCCAACCCTGAATGAAACATTTCCCTACTCCAAGGCTTGTTTCTATGGAAACACACCTCCTCTGGCCACCTGACTGACACAGTGGGAAGTTCAAATCTGGATTTAAAAATTAGAAATATATTTTCAAAATGTATGTTTTGTAGACTCTCTGCATCCATACTTTTTGCTCTGAGTCTTCACAACGTACTTCTTTATACTATGACTTAATATCAGCCTGAACCGGTGAGTCAGTTTTGTGATATTTCATGGAATGTACTTTAATACTACATTGCATTGCATCTAAGGACAGCTTTGACAATGCAAGGAGGCCACACCCCATCTGTGTATACATTTGAACCCTGGCCTTTAATGACAGACCAAACCAACCTTGTGAGTGGTGTCCATGTTAAACAGGTGTGTGGTGTCTCAGTGGGCTGGCATTATAATCAGTCATTAGTCCTGAATAGCACAAGCAGCCATGCATACACATGACTGTCATGATGAAATAGAAGTGCAATAATTTTGAACATGACATTAAACCCGATTTGTCCTTGCCTGACATGACTGAAATACAATTTAAAGCAATTCTAAACAATGCTGGTTCAATGTAACTAAAAGCCTGAACTTCAGGCCATGCATGGAGTCAAGGTTCTCACCAGGCTTTCACAGCAACTGGTCTGCTAGTCAAAGTAGTGACTAGTAATTTACTTCAAAATGGCATTACATAAACAACTAGTCAATGTAAATTGTTAACCAGAATTTAAAATTTAAGCATAAAAGTGTAGTCTCCCATGTAATGGTTGATCAAATTTTTAAGACCTTTCATAAAAGTGGAGGGTCAAAGACAACTGTACTGTCATGATGACTGAAATACAATTTAAAGCAGTTCTAAACAATGCTGGCTCAATGTAACTAAAAGCCTGAACTTCAGGCCATGCATGGAGTCAAGGTTCTCACCAGGCTTTCACAGCAACTGGTCTGCTAGTCAAAGTAGTGACTAGTAATTTGCTTCAAAATGGCATTACATAAACAACTAGTCAGTGTAAATTGTTAACCAGATGGGTCGGGTTAACTGGAGGGTTACAGACAACTGTGCATTGTGTGTTATGTGTATATCAAGGTGATGCTTGTGAAGTGTCATCTTGGGAATAGATGGAGAGTAGAAGGTCATGGTCAGATCTGCTGTCTCACCTTTATATGATGTTACTTGTTGTTTCCCTGTCTGGTTCTTGGCATTATGGTGATAAAACAAGGATTGGTCGGCTCATGGTTAGTTAATCAAGTTGAGTATCAATGTTACACTGTGGAATAGAATCTAGTTAGCTTGTACTATAAACTGACATTAGTCTGGGCAAGTTCAAGCAGCCCGATTGTCAAAAATGGTCATTGGCCAGATTTTTCTTTTGACCAATATATTTAAGCTTGAAGTGTCATAATTTAATTCAATTTAATTTTTGGTTTGGTTTGGTTTTTTATTTAGTTATTGATCAAGAAGGTGAAATTTGGAATTTGAAAACGTAAATCACCTGATTGTTGAGTTGTTTATCATCAGCTGGTGACACATGTTTAATGAGATAACTGAGTTCCAGTATGCTGAGCATCCAGAACGAATGTCCATGATGATTTGTTGTTATTTGTGAATCAAGACTTGTTTTTTTGTGTACATGTTGTGTGAGATGGGTTTATTTTGCAACTGATATGTATGTACATTGTTTTCATTGTGCAGTAAAGTGAATCTTGTCAAGTCTTTGTTTGTGTATTATTTCTGTAGATGCAAACATGAATACACAATTCCATTAGAAAGTGTTTTATATGAAACATGTTTATATTTGGGATTACACTTTCTCATCAAGGTACAGATTCTATTACTATTGTCCCATCTAGCCCAATCTGGGATTCGAACCCACACTCTATGGGTTCGATTCCCAGGTTTGACTCAACCAAACAAAAGTAGAAGAATCTGTGCTTTACTGAGAAAGTGTAATCCCAAATTTAACATGCTACAGATGCATACACTATTTGCATTTCGGAGGTAGTGATGGTCCACAGAGCAGGGTCCTCATTTGGGAAAGAAATGTGCCTCATGTAAAGTTTATTTTGAAATGAATTAATGCATTTTTCAATACATATTCATGACATCACAGACACTTCCACGTTGTGATTCCCTTCCTGCATTTGCACCTGACATTTTACTCAGAGTACACTTGACAAATTACATGATTTGATATTGATTTCATTTTTATCCCCCCGGCATGTAATGTGTGGGATATAGTCGATGCCTCGTCCGACCATCTGTACATCCATGCGTAATCATTTTGTTTACGGAGCATAACTAAAAAAACGTTCAATACTTTTCAACAAAAAATGTGTAGATATATCAAACAGAACCTAAAGTGGTGCCTTTTGTTGGTTACAGATTTAATCATCTTTTTTTCTTTTCTTTTTTATTCAGCCTCGGTAACCACGGTTTTTCATAAACCATACAAGTCCACATGGTCAGGGACTACTGGTTTATAGCCTCAAACTTTTACCAATTATATTTTCTATTGTAAATCTATCATGAGTGCTTCTACATAAATAAACTTTACCAATATATAATTCCAGAGCATATTTCAAATCTATAATGAAAAGCTTCATAGAAACTTTGATATTGGTATAGTGAGACTTTTATATAGAGTATTTTAGATCCAAATTTAAAAACTCAAATACTTACCAATTATAAGTTTATTGTAAATCTAACATGAGTGCTTCTAAATACATGAACTTTACCTTTGAATATTTGGGAGTAGTGCACTTTACCGGGCGCACTTTTTCAGATTAATTAGCGCTGCCGGGGTTCCCTAACCCTAACCCCTAACCCTAAGGATCGTAAAGGGTGCCTAACCCTAAACCCTAACCCTAAGGATCGTAAAGGGTGGCATACCCTAACAGTAGGATCGTAAATGGAGCAGCGAGGGCTGCGCCCGGTAAAGTGCATTCTAGCCGAATAATTTATATATTTCCAGAGCATATTTCAAATCTACTATGAAATGCTTCATAGAAACTTTGATATCAGTATATAGTGAGACTTATAATAGCCAGTTTTATATGTCAACCGGAAATGTTATAAGTTTGGGGAGGATAACCCGCCTCATGGTTATATCGGTGGCTGTCTTTCTTGTGAACTTTCGCAGCTTTTTTTATGGCTCGATGGATCGATTGAGATACGATGACTTGATGCATAATTTAAGATGTGTTTCATATGTCTCACTGTTGCAGCTTCCATAGCATATCTGTATCCTTCTGGAAAACAATATTCATAACACGTTAAATGGTTTCCTTTGAGACAGTCTGAATTCAGAATAAGCGTGTGTTTACAAACAACAGAAAAATGCAGTCACGTGATATGCAAATTGATTAGAGACTGGTGTCCCGACCCTCCGCTTGGTAGTGCCCATCTTGTAAAGAACGAATGGGTACCAGTCAAGCCTGTGGCTAAGTCAATGTGTTATTACATGTATGGCACAGGCCCTCGTGTCTTTGCGAGGATTAATTATAATTAAAAAAATGTTTTTGAGATGACCCCCGACTCTAAATGCTTCACAGTACCATACCATTAGATTGCGCGAATGTAGAGAAGAAATTGGGTCAAAATAGTTGAAAATAATTTTCATTTTGGCTTGCATAATTTTTTACCAGACACTTCAAGTATATTTTAAGTATTGCATAGTCCTCCTGGGATTCCTGAATTTGTATAACCAGGATATATTAACATTATGGCGTAGGGAAGTATTTAAGCATGTTAAACATGCCCTTTGAGGTGATTTCCTTGGCGTAGATGCCATGTTTGTTTTCCAAGTAAACTGAGTATCATCATGCCCTTGAAAATAGTCCGGCGACTAGACTATTTCTTTCTCTCTGTGTGACCTCCTCCCTGGTGTAGTGGTTAGAGTGTCCGCCCGGAGAGCGGATGGTCGCGGGTTCGATCCCCGACCGCTTCATACCAAAAGACGTTAAAATATGGTACTTGTTGGTCTCTGCCTGGCGCTCGGCATTAATGGGTACAACAAGGACTGGTCGGCTCGGAGTCAGTATAATGTGTCTGAGTGGGGTATTCATGCTTCACTGCGGCATGGTATCTCAGTGGGCTAGCACTATAAAACCAGCTTAAGTCTGGGCTAGTACAAGTAGCCGCACATACACATACACACGCATGCACGTCGTCATATGAGCGAAATATTCTCAAGCACGACGTAAAACCCAGTTTCACCTCACCTCTTTCTCTCTGTGCTTTTGCGCTCAGACAGAGTCAAGTTCAATAAAATGACTACGAGAGGGGTCTTCTTTCAGGTTACGGAAAGGGTAGTTCTACAACGTTAAACGTCTTGGTAGGCCTCAGTTATTGTCGGATATTTACTATGGCCTACCCAACGTTTAACCGGCGAAGGCCTAATATCTCGGCGCAGAATTCCGACGAGTTTCACGTCGGGACGATATGCACTTACAAAAAATGGAAAACGTTTGTTAAAAAATCCAAACCTGTCTTGTAGCTGCAGTTTATTTATAGTAATAGTAAAGAGTATAGTGTACATAAGTGCATCAACAATTTCAACTGTATTAAGAAAATACATGAAAACATATGTATGAGGTGAGGTGAAATTGGTTTTAACGTAGTGCTTGAGACATATGTATGACTCTGCGTGTTTGTATAATGTTTTTTAATGGCTAGAAGATGCACACACTGGCTATTTTTCCCGCTTAACCAACAAATAAGCATGATCTGCCAAAATTCATTTGATGAGACATTTAATCTCAATACTACATGGAAAAATGTGAATGAAGAAACATAAGTCAGTGATTATACCAGGTGTTCACGAAAAGATGAGTACTGATATAGCATGAACGACACTACAGGTAGCAGTCATTTACGAATTTTCAATAAAGAAGAGTAAGTGCCAAACAAAGATGGTCATTTGAATGTCTTTATTTCTTGTACTAATCGACCAGAGTGGCCCCATCTCATCTCATATATTTTATTGAATACTTCAAGTGACTGTTGCTGACATTGGTCTTTATTGGTTTACTAGACAAAGTTAGATGCTAATCCTTTTCGGTCCGTAAAATATGGGAAACACAACCTCTAAATGACCGAGACGATACCTAATGCGTTTTCTTGACAGTCCATGTTTTAAATTTCCCGCCGCGCGTTGCATCTTGGGGAAGAAAATGGCTGTCAAACTACGAAAGTGTGAGGGTGATTGAGTGTTATGGCTTGATTCATCTAAACGCGGACACATCCAATGGAAATGATTATGCGGATTTGTGCATAAATAAATAAACTGCTGCTACAAGACAGGTTTGGATTTTTTAGCAAACGTTTTCCATTTTATTAAGTGCATATCGGCGGAATTTTGCTCCGAGAAATTAGGCTTCGCTGGTTAAACGTTGGGTAGGCCATAGTGAATATCCGACAATAATATGAGGCCTACCAAGACGTTTATCGTTGTCGAACTACGGAAAGGGACGAGTACTTACGAATGCCCGACGCCAGTGATGATTTAGCATAACATTCTCGGCTGGCCGCATGGAACACTGGGTAGCAGAGTGGGGTTTTCAAACAAGACACATGTTTCTGCACGAACCGATTGATTCACGTAGGTTTTAGAGCATTAATACTATTCAGCATTTCTTTATTAGTTTTACCATTAAACCTATTTAGATTTGGGGACTTACGTATCAGCCCAAGAAAATAAAAGCGAGTGCTAAGAATATAAATTTCAGCATTTCGACAACGCAAACATGTATGATAAGTGAGCCCTCGCAGTTTGTATCTCATCAGCTATTTGACTTGACGCTCGTTTCTTTCTTCACCGTACTCCAGTCTTGAAGTCTTTGAACTTGTAGCGTATGTTTACACATATTTTTATAAAAATATGCTTTTGGTAGGGGATCTTAGGGGACGGTTTATGTTACTGGAATGAGACGTTGCCTTTGTTCCCTACTTGTTTGCAACCTATGCTGCGACAATCGAAAGCTCACTTGCCTCTTATAGTGCATGGGCGGATACAGGAATTTTGAAACGGGGGGTGATCAGAGGGTTCGAACCCCCTGAACCCCCATTGGCTCCAACGCAAAAAAAATAAATCTTCAATGTGGTCTTAGGGGTCCGAATCCCTGAACATCCCCCAATTGGATCCACCCCACCCCTGGATCCACCAATGTAGAAGAGTGAAGTCCATCCAAAACAACACATTCCAATATTAGTGATTTCCCCTAGAAGTATTGTGTTCATACTTCCCTGGTTTCCAGTTCAAATTATTTTGTTTGTTCATTGGTTACGCCCGCCCACTTTGGCCATATGAAACTATGTAAATGATTAAACCTTGACCAGACATTTCAGTGATTGATAGTATGAGCAGCGACTTAAGAGGGTTACGATGACATGTGTTAACTAGGTCAGCTGTCCTGACCACCCAATCCCACAATCAAGTTGAATTTTGGAACATTGGAATTTCATTTAGCGTGCTTCAGAATATAATTCCTTAGTTATTTTTGTTTACAGGCACATTGAAAGAGACTTGCGATGCCTCGACTGTCTAAAGAACAGAGAGAGGAAGTGAAGAAAATGCTGGACAAAGGTTACTCCCAGACTGAAATTTCTAAAAAAATGAAAACATCTCAGAGAACAATTCACCGATTAGTCAGCAGGTTAAAAACAACAGGGTCAACTGATGACCGCCCACGCACAGGGCGACCTCGCGTCATCCCAACCCAAGATCAGTCATGGCTAGAATGTGCTGGTGAGGAGAGACCCTTTGTTTGCTCAGAGTGTGGTAAAACTTTCAAACGCTTCAACAATCTCAAGAACCATTTAAAGACTCATGGAGATGAACGTCAATACCAGTGTGATCAGTGTGGCCGTGGTTTTATTAGTTCTGCTAATTTCAAGCGACACATGCGTACTCATACTGGAGAAAAACCGTATATTTGTGAATACTGTGCTCGAGGTTTTGCTGACTTGTGCACAATGAATGCACACATTCGTACTCACACGGGAGAACGTCCTCACAAATGTCACCTTTGTGGGAAGGCCTGTACAACAGCTGGCAATCTCCACGCTCATATGAAGGTACACAGAGATAAGAAAGGAGGCGAGGTACCACGTCCCTTATTTGTGAAACCCCCTAGGTACAAATCTATCCCTGTCTTTCCACAGATGGCACTGTTGAAAGCTAGAAACCAACAAGCATTGAAAGAAGAGTCAGATATTGCTGATGACAGTGAAGCATTTGATGAAGATAAGACTGCCAAAGAAGAGGATGTATCTAACGAGGATGGCCTTGAGGACCACCAACATCAGGACAATCCACATGGGCTCAGTGTGAACATGTCTTCCAGTTTTGTAACTGAATTTCAAGAGGATCTGCCAGCAAAAATTGAACAAAATCCTGATGGTTTTGAGGATAATCTGTCCTCTGATAAACCTAAAGACATGGACTTTCAGAAGAGGTTCTGTCAAGCAATTGCAGCATCTTCAAATTTTCAGCTGCCTATTCCTGTTGACCATATCAAGAAAGAACCTGATTTTGAGGAAGAGAGAAACTGATGTGGCTGTTCCCTGAGTGCCAAACATTTTTCTTGTCATGTGTGTCTAGGTCTGAGTGACTGCAATAAGCTGTAGTCTTGTAGTTCCATGCTTGTGGGTTTCTTTAAGGAATATGATCTGCATTACTGAGAATGTAGTCCAATATTAAGCTGAGAATATAACAGAGACAACCTCTGTAGTCTAGTGGGAAAACAGCCCCTCCCAGAGAGAGGAAGGTCGATGGTTGATACTCTAGTGCCCCATACCACACTACATTAAAGGTGATACTTGTTGTTGCTAGTGGTGGCAATTGGTTAAAAGCTCAAAATTGGTGACTGGTTGATTACAACCGATCAATCATTGAAAATAATCGGTTAGTGTCATTTATCAAATGTTCCTGTTGTGGTTGCTAATGCACACACAAAAAATGTTATTCTTTTGGGTTTTTTGCAAATCGCACAAAATGCAGGGATGAGAATTTTCCACGGATCCGCGGAGTTCCATGAATTTCATAAGGCCAAGGGTAATTATTGTCAGTCGTCTAAATCTGTATAATTTGGCCTCGATTTGGCCCCCAGCTAGTTTTCAGAGTTTTTCTCAAAACTTCATTCTCATCCCTGAAAATGTCTCTGCAAATTTCACATCTTTAAGGATGACTAGTATGTTAGGAACATAAATATCCTGGAGTCTTTAAGATAAATTCTTTCATGACTTGGAAATAGCTTGTAGTGCTAATTAAATGTAAATTTAATGACAGACCAAACCAACCTTGTGAGTGGTGTCCATCTTAAACAGGTGTGTGGTGTCTCAGTGGGCTGGCATTATAATCAGTCATTAGTCCTGAATAGCACAAGCAGCCATGCATACACATGACTATAGAAGTGCAATAATTTTGAACATGACATTAAACCCGATTTGTCCTTGCCTGACATGACTGAAATACTATTTAAAGCAATTCTAAACAATGCTGGTTCAATGTAACTAAAAGCCTGAACTTCAGGCCATGCTTTGAGTCAAGGTTCTCACCAGGCTTGCACAGCAACTGGTCTGCTAGTCAAAGTAGTGACTAGTAATTTACTTCAAAATGGCATTACATAAACAACTAGTCAATGTAAATTGTTAACCAGAATTTAAAATTTAAGCATAAAAGTGTAGTCTCCCATGTAATGGTTGATCAGAATTTTTTAAGACCTTTCATAAAGTGGATGTCAAGTCTTCAGACAGAGAGGTTTGTATTCTGGGAACGAACTGACAATTGTGCATGTGTGTTTGTCAAGGTGATGCATGTGAAGTGTCACCTTGGAATAGAAGGAGAGTAGAAGGTCATGGTCAGATCTGCTGTCTCACCTTAAATGATGTTACTTGTTGTTTCCCTGCCTGGTTCTTGGCATTAAGGAGATAAAACAAGGATTGGTCGGCTCATGGTAAGTATATCAAGTGGAGTATCAATGTTACATCGTGGAATGGAATCTAGTTAGCTTGTACTATAAACTGACATTAGTCTATACAAGTTCAAGCAGCCCGATTGTTAAAAATGGTCATTGGACAGATTTGTCTTTTGACCAATATATTTAAGCTTGAAGTGTCATAATTTAAATCAAGTTAATTTTTGGTTTGGTTTTGTATTTATTTAGTTATTGATCATGAAGGTGAGATTTGGAATTTGAAAACATAAATCATCTGATTGTTGAGTTGTTTATCATCAGCTGGTGACACACTGTTTCTGGAGATGATTGAGTTCAGTATGCTGGGCATCTGGCACTAATGTCCATGATGATTTGTTGTTATTTGTGAATCAAGACTGTTTTTGTGTGTACATGTCAGATGTGTATATTTTGCAACCAGTATTATTTATGTACACTGTTTTCATTGTGCAGTAAAGTGAATCTGTCAAGTCTTTGTTTGTGAATTATTTCAGTAGAATTCATTCATTTTTCAATACATAATAATAACATCACATGCACTTCCAGGTTTTGATACCCATCTGTCACATGCATCAGACATCTTAGTCAGATACACTCAGCAAATTACATGATTTATATCCATTTCATTTTTTATACGGTCTACATGTTTAGACAACTACTATTCACAAATGATTAGGGGCAGTGGCGTAGCCTAGTGGATAAAGCATTCGCTCGTCACACTGATGTCCCTGGTTCAATTCCCACATATGTACAATGTGGGAAGCCCATTTCTGGTGTTCCCCGCTGTGATATTGCTGGAATATCAAATTCACTTACTCACTCACAAATGATTATATTTCATTGAGAAAATAACCTGTCAATATCCAGTCTAAGTAATTATTCCAGTGGAAAGAATAATACTGAGGCTAAGCTTACTAAGGATAGAATTGATCATCAGCAACCTGTGTTTGTCTTAAGAGGCGACTAACAGGATCGGGTGGTCAAACAGGCTCGCTGACTTGGTTGACATGTCATCGGTTCCCAATTGTGTAGATCGATGCTCATGCTATTGATCACTGAAATGTCTGGTCCAGACTCGATTATTTACAGACCACCATCATTCAGGTGGAATATTGCTGAGTGTGGCGTAAAACTAAAGTCACTCACTCATTTAGAAAAAATCCTAAATCATGAAAAACTATTTCCATTGTCGAATTTAGCCTTTGTTACATTGTTATATGGCTGGATGGAGAGAGATAGGGATCCACGATCACTATAAAAAGATGTGTTTCATATTCTTCACTGGTCCACCTGCAATACCATATCTTATACCCTTCTGGAAAACAATATTCACAACATACTTTATATAATAATGGCTTCCACTAAGCCAGTCTGGTCTAAATTCAGAACAGACGTTTGTTTACAAACAACAGGAAAGGTGCAGTCACGTGATATGCAAATTACAAGTGACTTAGACTGGTGCCCCCAATCCTCCGCTTGGTAGTGCACTTACAGTTACCTAGCCCAGGTTGTAAATAATGAATGAGTACCAGCCTGGCCTGTGACTAAGTCAATATGTTAAGTATGGTGTATAATGTTGTCACCGCATTTGAGTGTGAACACATCAACTGGCGAGCGTGCAAGTTCGTTAACTGGTTTCCGGCTCCGTATGCGCGTCGTCAAATTCCTGGGTTTTTCCCGACACTGGCGCAGCGATGATTTAGCATAACATTCTCTGCTTGCCGCATAGAACTCTGGGTAATAGAGGGGTTTTCAAACAACACAGACACAGACGTTTCTGAATCGATCGAGTAACGAACTGATTGATCCACTTAGGTTTTAGAGCAATACCACTATGCAAGAGTTCAGACTATCGTACGCAGACCAAGAAAAGAAATGCGAGAGTATATTGAACAACTCGACCGAAGCGCAGACATAACGGACGAAGACAACAGAACCGCACCAAACACAGCCTGTCATTCGTTCTGAGCCATCGTCACATTTGCCTGTAAGGGGAGACGGGACCCAGCTTATGCAGTTCGTTGATGGTGCCAGTGTGATTTCTTGACTTGGACGCTCGTTTTTCTGCACCGTACATCTGTCTTGATGTCTTTGAACGTGTAGGGTATGTATATTTGCATATATATGTTTGGTGTTTTGTTTTATGTTACATTTCATGGGGCGATTTGTCTTACCGAAATGAGATTCTGCCTTTGTTCTCGACTTGTTTGCAACCTATGCTGCGACAATCGAAAGCGCACTTGTCCCATTTAGCACTGCCTTTAGTGTGAGGTCACTTTGATCAACAAAAAACGCGTTTTCGTCCTGGAATTAATATGGAAATGCTGGCATCTTTGAATTTTCGTATCAATAATTTTGTAGTAACTTTGAGAAGTCAATTAGGTACTATTCTACAAGTTCCGTGTGCACAGGATCAGTAACAAACCTTGACCAGACAATCCAGTGACTGATACTGTGAGCATCGGTCTATTGGTTTAGGATGACATCTGTTAACCGAACCAGCAGTCCTGGTCACCCTGACCACATTTGAGTTGATTACTGTGTGCAGGGTTTTATGCGACACACAAATGTGCATCAAGTAGGGCTCTAATGATGCATCAAACTATCGATGGATTGCTATTGTTGAGTCACGGATAGCAATTACCCGATGGTAGAAACGAAAAACTATCGATGCATCGATAGTATGTGTGACTATCGATAGTTTAGTAATTGACTTCCGTTGGTAAATGCGCAGTGCAAAATATAGGAAGTACCAGATTCCTTCACTTTGAGTTACAGTTGTCCGCCCCTGTTACCTTTTGAACAAACATGTCCCAAACACAGCATGCGACTCAGAGTTTGAAATTGTGAATAACAATAAGTTTATGTTTTAACTGTTGACTTGATCTGTTTTCTTGCCAGTTATTTAAAGAGACTTCAAATTGTTTTATTTCATATAACCTATACATTCATTTGGGAAATGACTTCGAATGAGACAATTCAAGGAGAGAAAAACTATTACAATAGTATTGCAATAGTTAGTCGCAATAGACTATCGCTATCGCAATAGTTGTTCCCCCTCAATAGTCACCCCTAGCATCCAGTACTCGCAAATGTATGTAGAGAATGGACGACGAAAACCCCAAATACTGCATCTGGAGATAAACACAGAAATGCAGAGAACGTACCTACAGCAAGTCAAGAGTTGTTATGTCACCCATCAGCCACGACCACTGTCCACATGATCACTGATTCATTCCAGGCTATAATTATCTGAATGCTCACTACACTATACCATTTTCCTACTTTGTCGTACCCTCATATTAGCAACATGGACGTGTAAAATGTATTGATGAGGATCCCCTGGACCCCTCAATCAAAGGGTCTTGATATGAGTGAGTTTAGTTTTACGCCGCTTTTAGCAATATTCCAGCCTTATGACCGCAGGGGACACCAGAAATGGGCTTCATACATTGTACCCATGTGGGAAATCGAGCCCGGGTTTTGGGCGTGACGAGCGAATGCTTTAATCACTAGGCTACCCCACCACCCCTGAATGTAGTGGAGGGTCCCTTAGGGTTGTACCCTGTAGTACTTTCCAGAGAATAAATATAACACACCACTGCCCCCACAGATTATCCACTGATTAACACTGTTAAAACAAGTAAATACTTTTTGTATGTATGTCCTCTCATCCAGACTCATTGTAACCTACACCAAAATGTCACTCATAATTCAAACAAAATTTTCATCCATATATCCTTATCTTTACTTATTACACCAACTTCTAAGTGTCTCTGAACCAAGTTATCATGTGTAATTTTCACATTGGGAGTTTACAAAACACATACATATGTCAGTGGTGATCTTGTTTCTCATCCATAATCCATATACTCCTGTATATCAGTGTTAAAATGATGGGGGAAAATGAGGGTCACTCAATGCCCAGTGAGTCTATACGTCACCAAATTCACTTCTTTACACTCTGACAGGGTCGGAAATAATTTTAAAATTGCTAGTGTACTCCGGAACAGTGGCACATGTAAAATCACTTGCCCTGATAATTTTTCCACTATACAGGCCGTTTTCTTGTTGATGTTTAAAAATATACAACATAATTAACATTGGAAAGTCAACTGGACACCGGTACAGTGTGATATACAAATTTGCTTGCCCGACAGAAAAAAACACTGGACTCGGACGTCGGGCAATGGGTTATTTCCACCCCTGCTCTGAACATAGTTTATCATAAGTTGTGTTAGTTCTGCATGTTAAACAACAGTTACATTTGAATTCCATTTGGCATGCTTAGAAATCTAATACTTGAGTTCTCTTCGTTCACAGACTCAATTAAAGAGACTTGCGATGCCTCGACTCTCAAAACAACAGAGAGAGGAAGTGAAGGAAATGCTAGACAAAGGTTACTCCCAGTACGAAGTTTCTAAAAAAATGAAAACAGCTCGGAGTACAATTCACCGATTAGTCAGTAAGTTAAAAACGACAGGATCAACTGATGACCGCCCACGTACAGGGCGACCTCGGATCATCCCAATCCGAGATCAGTCATGGCTCGAATGTGCTGGTGAGGAGAGACCCTTTGTTTGCACAGAGTGTGGTAAGACTTTCAAACACTTCCACAATCTCAAGAACCATTTAAAGACTCATGGTGATGAACGGGAATACCAGTGTGATCAGTGTGGCCGTGGTTTTATTAGTTCTGCTAATTTCAAGCGACACATGCGTACTCATACTGGAGAAAAACCTTATATTTGTGAATACTGTGCTCGAGGTTTTGCTGACTTGTGCACAATGAATGCACACATTCGTACTCACACGGGAGAACGTCCTCACAAATGTCACCTTTGTGGGAAGGCTTGTACAACAGCTGGCAATCTCCACGCTCATATGAAGGTGCACAGAGATAAGAAAGGAGGGGAGGTACCACGTCCCTTGTTCGTGAAACCCCCTAGATACAAATCTGTCCCTGTCTTTAAACATATGGAACTGTTGAAAGCTAGAAACCAACAAGCATTGAAAGAAGAGTCGGATATTGCTGAGGATAGTGAAGCATTTGATGAAGATATGATTGTCAAAGAGGAGAATGAATCTAATGAGGACGGCCTTGAGGACCACCAAGATGAGGACTGCCCTGAGGACCACCAAGATCAGGACAATCCGCATATGCTCAGTGTGGACATGACTTCCAGTTCTGTAACTGAATTTCAAGAGGATCTGCCAGCAAAAGTGAAACAAGTCTTGGTGGTTTTGAAGATAGTCTGTCCTCTGTTAAACGTACAGACATGGACTTTCAGAAGAGGTTCTGTCAAGCAATTGCGGCATCTTTAACAGGGGAACAACTTATTCCAGTCAATCATATCAAGAAAGAACCTGACTTTGATGAAGAGCTGAACTGATCTGCTGTTCCATGAGTGCTAAATATTTCTGTCTGTGTGTGTGAGTCTGAGTGACTGCAATAACCTCCACAGTCTTGTAGTTCCATGCTTGTGGGTTTCTTAGAGGAATATAACCTGCATTGCTGTGGATGTCACCAAGGATTAAGCCCCAATATCTTGGTATGACTGAGACCACCTCTGTGGTTTAGTGGATGAGAGCCCCTCCCAGAGAGAGGAAGGTCGGTGGTTGATACTCTAGTGCACCATACCTCACAACATTAAAGGTGATACATGTTGTTGTCCTGCCTGGTGCTTGGCATTATGGGTATAAAACATGGGGTGGTCAGTTCTGAGCCAGTGTACTGTGAGTGGTGTCCATGTTAAACAGTGGTGTGGTATCTCAGTGGACTGGCATTAGAATCAGTCATTAGCCCTGACTAGCACAAGCAGCCATGCACGCACTTCACACATTGCTGTAGAAGTGAAATAATTTTGAACATGGCATTAAACCCCATCCTTGCCTGACATGACTGAAATACTATTTAAAGCCATTCCAAACAATGCTGGCTCAATGTAACTAAAAGCCTGAACTTCCAGGCCATGTGTGAATTCAAAGGTACTCACCAGGGTTTCACTGCAACTGGTCCTCAAGTCAAAACTAGTCACAAGATATACGGACTGGCGTTTACTTCTAAATAGCATTACACAAACACCTAGTCAATAGACATTGTGAACCAGTATTTGCAATTTAAGCACGAAAGTGTTGTGGCAATTGTAATGGCTGATCAGATATTCTGAGAACCTAATTTATGAAGGGGTGTCAAGTAGTGGTGGTCCAATTAATTGAAATAATCGAAGATTGGTCGCTATGACTAAACAACCAAGCAATCTATCATGTTTTCTCATAATCGAGCACAAACAATTTTGGAACACCTGTTTGCATTAACAATATTTTTCGCAAAGTAGGTTTTGTCTGTTACATTTCATAAGCACTACAAGCTCATTCCAAGTCATGATTGAAATTATCTTAAAGAGTTAAGGTAATTTATGTTCCTAAGGTATCAGTCATCCTGTAAAGATGTGAAATTTGCAAATGCATTTTGTGCAATTTGCAAAAAACAACCCAGAAAGAACTACATGTTTTTTCTTTATGTTTTGTGCATTAAAAACATAACCAGGAAAATTTGATAAATGACGCTAACCAATTATTTTCGATGATTGATCGGTTGTAATGAACCAATGAACCAATGAGATTTTAACCAATTCCCAACACTAGTGTCAAGTCTTTTTTGCAGAGAGTTATGCATCGTATCAGGGAATGATCTGACTTCAAACCCCCATCCTCCCTACCCAACCCCATCCCATCCTCCCTCGCTCCCACTCTGGACCCGAACCCCATCCTCCTACCCTCCCACCCCAAACCCCATCCTCCTACCCTCCCACCCGATCCTGCTCCCACCCCTAACCCAATCCCCCCACCCTCCACCCGAGACCCCCGTCCTCCCCCCATCATCCTACCCTCAGCCAAACCCCATCCTCCCTACTCCCACCCAGACCCCATCCTCCTACCCTCCCACCCAAGCCAAAATCCTCCTGCCCCCTCCCATCCTCATAACTCCTCCCATCATCAGCCAAAATCCCCTCATCCTCCTACCTCCTCCCAGCCAAAAGGCCCCATCCTCCTACCCTCCCAGCCAAACCTCATCCCCTATCCTCCTACCCCTACCACTCCTCACCCAAAACCCCATCCTCCTACCCTCCCGAGGAAGTCAAAACCCCATCCTCTCCCAGTCAAACCCATCCACCCCTCCCTGTTAAAACCCCATCCTCCTACTCAAAACCCCATCCTCCTAGCCAAAACCTCTATCCTCCACCCTCCCTCCCTTCATGTCCAACACTCTTGTGTCTACCCTTTGCTTGTCTGTGAGACCTCCTTAGAACAAACTTGCACAACTTGAGGTATCTTCCTAAAGGCCAGTGTAATGTGTAATGTAACTGTGATACTGTTCAAAGGTGATGTGTGACTTGTAACCATCTCACATGCTGGTCAACCCTAGGTCATGCAACCAGGGGAGGTTTGTTTCTTTGTTTAACACCAATCTCCGCAGTATGCAACCAGGGCAGGTTGGTTTCTTTGTTTAACACCAATCTCCGCAGTATTCAAGTTGGTGGCCTGTATATGATCAACTTCGGACCAGACAATTGAGTGACTGATATAGTGAGCAATGGTACACATTTTCAGAGTACAATTACATGCAAAAAATTGCAAATCAATATCTGATCCTTTTGGTCATCTCTCACGAACAGCACAGGTTGTTGTGGACCTATTCTAACCCTGAATCTCCACAGTGGGACCAGCACATGTTATTGGGGACTTATTCTAACCCTGAATCCCCACAGTAGGAACAGCACAGGTTACTGTGTACCTATTCTAACCCTGAATCCCCACAGTAGGACCAGCACAGGTTGCTGGGGACCTATTCTAACCCTGAATCCCCACAGTAGGACCAGCACAGGTTGCTGGGGACCTATTCTAACCCTGAATCCCCACAGTAGGACCAGCACAAGTTACTGTGTACCTATTCTAACCCTGAATCCCCACAGCAGGACCAGTACAGGTTGCTGGGGACCTATTCTAACCCTGAATCCCCACAGTAGGACCAGCACAGTTACTGCGTATCTATTCTAACCCTGAATCCCTACAGTAGGACCAGCACAGTTTACTGGGGACCCATTCTAACCCAGAGTCTCCACGGTAGGACCAGCACAGTTTACTGTGTACCCATTCTAACACAGAGTCTCCACAATAGGACCAGCACAGTTTACTGTGGACCCATTCGAACCCAGAGTCTCCACAATAGGACCATCACAGTTTACTGTGGAGCCGTTCTAACCCAGAGTCTCCACAATAGGACCATCACATGTTACTGTGTACCTATTCTAACCCTGAATCCCCACAGTAAGACCAGCACAGTTTACTGTGGACCCATTCTAACCCTGAATCCCCACAGTAGGACCAGCACATGTTACTGTGGATCTATTCTAACCCTGAATCCCCACAGTAGGACCAGTACAGGTTGCTGGGGACCTATTCTATCCCTGAATCCCCACAGTAGGACAAGCACAGGTTACTGGGGACCTATTCTAACCCTGAATCCCTCACAGGCACAGGTTACTGGTATCTATTCTAACCCTGAATCCCCACAGTAGGACCAGCACAGGCTGCTGGGTACCTCTTCCAACCCTGAATCCCCACAGTAGGACCAGCACAGGTTATGGTGTACCTATTCTAACCCTGAATCCCCACAGAAGGACCAGCACAGGTTGCTGGGGACCTATTCTAACCCTGAATCCCCCACAGTAGGACCACACTGGTGTGACCCAATCCTGAATCCCAGCACACAGGTTACTGTGGACCTATTCTAACCCTGAATCCCCACAGTAGGACCAGCACAGGTTACTGTGTATCTATTCTAACCCTGAATCCCCACAGTAGGACCAGCACAGGTTACTGTGTATCTATTCTAACCCTGAATCCCCACAGTAGGACCAGCACAGGTTACTGTGTATCTATTCTAACCCTGAATCCCCACAGTAGGACCAGCACAGTTTACTGTGGACCCATTCTAACCCAGAGTCTCCACAATAGGACCAGCACAGTTTACTGTGGACCCTTTCTAACCCAGTCTCCACAATAGGACCAGCACATGTTACTGTGTACCTATTCTAACCCTGAATCCCCACAGTAGGACCAGCACAGGTTACTGTGTACCTATTCTAACCCTGAATCCCCACAGTAGGACCAGCACAGGTTGCTGGGGACCCATTCTAACCCTGAATCCCCACAGTAGGACCAGCACAGGTTGCTGGGGACCTATTCTAACCCTGAATCCCCACAGTAGGACCAGCACAGGTTGCTGGGGACCTATTCTAACCTGAATCCCCACAGTAGGACCAGCACAGGTTACTGTGGACCTATTCTAACCCTGGATCCCCACAGTAGGACCAGCACAGGTTACTGTGGACCTATTCTAACCCTGAATCCCCACAGTAGGACCAGCACAGGTTACTGTGGACCCATTCTAACCCAGAGTCTCCACAATAGGACCAGCACAGTTTACTGTGGACCCATTCTAACCCAGAGTCTCCACAATAGGACCAGCACATGTTATTGTGTACCTATTCTAACCCTGAATCCCCACAGTAAGACCAGCACAGGTTACTGTGTACCCATTCTAACCCAGAGTCTCCACAATAGGACCAATACATGTTATTGGGGACTTATTCTTACCCTGAATCCTTAACACTTTTATAATTGTTAACTTTCATTGAGGTAATATCCTTAAATGTGAAAAATATTTCCTTTACTGAATTTATCCTTTGTTTACATTTTTGTAGGGCTCTATGAAGACATAGCGAGAGGGCATTTCATATACCTCACTGTTGCAGGTGCCATACTATTGTGGACATGGTTTGTGAGTTGTGTGTATTTTGAAAATGATATGATGTATGTGCAGTGTTGTCATTGTGCAGTAAAGTGAACAAATCAACTGTTTGTTTGTGGATTATTTCTGTAGATGGAAAACTCATTTGCATTCCTGGGGTAGTGGTGGTCCCCATTTTAGAAAAAGTCGGAACTGTATTTCATCAGGGATAATCTACAACGTCTTATAGTCTCCCTGATTTCATGTAAAGTTTATTCTTTTAGTCACATGGACTTCGGGGTCCTGATTCCCAGGAGCATTTTAATGTTCACAACATTATCTCTTGGGAAGCTCTATCTTCCGCTGGTCTACTCTCAAAATGTGCGACAGGCGGTCATCCAAGTATATGTCACACCCACAAGACAACCATATTCGGTTGGTGCATCAACTCCGCCATACGTTCCAGTTTGCTTTGCGTCACAGTCAGGCACGCCCAGCTTGATGAATAGACAGCATCTGAGTTGCAGGGGCAGGACGATAAAACAAACTACTGTTCACAGACGAGTCCAAGTTTCATCTGGTCGTGCAAGGTTCTACAGGCGTCCCAGGGAACTTTTAGTGATACTTAACTCAACATCGTCAGTTTGGGGGTGGAAGATGAATGAGGCACGTTCGGGGGTAATGTTAAGTCAGTTGCAACGCAATCTTTCTTTTTGTGTTTCCTGTCATCAGATGCGGGTTTTTGTTTAATGAATCTGTTCTGACGAAACATATTTAAGACGAATGACCAAATACGATGTTAGCATCAATAACCTAACATTTACACCACTTTATATGATGCACGGTTATTTTGTCCTCCAGCATTTATTTTTTACTGATAATATCGACATGGAGAAAAGTATCAATATTTTCATGGTATCAATATGTTACCCTTAACCATAGCAAAGAAATTTATCAAAACCACAATTTAACTCACTATCTGGATAATGTGATCCTCAAGGAATAATTCGATGCTGATGTAAAAAGAACGAAAACCTAGTTTATTCAGAGAAACAAACCTGACAAAACATTTACTCAGTTTGTAGTGCTGCCAACTATGGTCGTGTGACGTTAACAAGGAGGCAGGGTAGCCTAGTGGTTAAAACGTCCGCTCGTCACACCGAAGACCCGGGTTCGATTCCCCACATGGGTAGAATGTGTGAAGTCCATTTCTGGTGCCCACCGCCGTGATGTTGCTGAAATATTGCAAAAAACGGCGTAAAACGTAACACTCGCTCACTCGTATGACGTCAACAAGAGCGGACATTTTCAAGATTCTGGCATAAAACCTTCAAGCACTCACATAAGTATCCATTATCAATATTTAGTTTAATTTAGTTATTGTAATAACAACCTTGACCCTCCTCCTAGTTGACTGCATCAGACATTGAATTTGACGTTTATGTATTGCGTTCCGTTCCTGATGGAGGGACGGGATCGGATGGTCAGGCTCGCTGACTTGGCTGACACATGTCATCGGTTCCCAATTGCGCAGATCGATGCTCATGCTGTTGATCACTGGATTGTCTGGTCAAGACTCGATTATTTACAGACCTCCGCCATGTAGCTGGAATAGCGTAAAACTAAACTCACTCACTCCTGATGGAGGGTTTGTTCTAATACATCATGATTTTGTACTGGCGGATCTCCATGGCATTTCCTGCTACCCATAATATCCCAAACATACTTTAGGAGGTTGACATCTGGACTCCTGGCGGGCCACGTTAGAGTTGCTACCGCCTCTTGGCGTAAGAAGTTACCAACGGCACGCGTACGATGTGCCCAAGCATTGTCGTCCATGAAGACTGGCCTTGTGTTCAGAGGAGGATGATCGAACACCCTGTCTGGGGTGTCTGGGGTTGTCCATTCAAATTTTGTCTGATCGCCACATCGTCAGGTTTACAGTCACGTGAGATGTACCCCCACATCATTTGATGAATCCCCGCCAAACGGTACTTGATCCAAGATATTCCGGTGTGCATGATGCAGTGTTTCTGCGGCGCCAAAAACGAGCTCGGCCATCAGTCACGAACAAAAGACATCGACTTTCTTCCGACCAGTAGACACTTCCCCATGACCTTAAACTCCAGTGACGTCAAGCTTGACACCAAGTTAGCCGTGCTGATATGTGCTTGTGCTCTGGGGGGGATAACAACGGACGTCTGATAGGTCGTCTGGCTCTATAATCGATTTTGGACCGTTCTGCTGGACAAAGCCGGATGTGGAAGCCGCTCTGTTTCTGACACGCCACTTGACATGAACGGATGAAGTCCTGTGGTTCTGGAATGGGCTGTATCCACCCTTGGAGTTGTCACCCGTGGTAGACCTGAACGCTGACTGTCCTTAACTTCAGTAATTTGCTGATATTTTCTTGTCAATCGGCTGATAATCGATGGATGGCGACCAACATCTCTTACAATAGCCCTCAACGACATGCCAACATTCCGCATACCAATAACTTGCCACCTCATAGCAGTTGTCAGTTAAGGAGGGCCCATATTTGCTTATCAGCAACGAAATCAATTTATTTTCCAATTTATCGAGCTGTAAGAACAGTTTTCTCAAACCTGATATTTGCTTGATGACTGGTGCACGTATTGCACGTGATGCTCGCCTTTGATTGTAGCACGTAATTCACGCCTAAAATCCATGCATGAGGCGCCCGAAGGGTCAAAAAAATCATGCAAACAAAACTAATTATGCTATGAATTTAAATGGCCATGTGGAGGTTGAAATCATAGGTACGATCATTTATTTCCATATGTGTTATATTTTACTAAATAGCATAATGTTAATCGTTTATGGTTATGGCAATGTTACTTTATCGTTCATTCTACCAGGGAGACTAAATGACGTTGTAGATTATCCCTGATTATACAAAGGATAAGACTGGCGGTGGGGTAGCCTAGTGGTTAAAGCGTTCGCTCGTCACGCCGAAGGCCCAGGTTCGATTCCCCATATGGGTACAATGTGTGAAGCCCATTTCTGTGTCCCCCGCCATGATATTGATGGAATGTTGCTAAAAGTGGCGTAAACCATACTCACTCAGTCAATATCATATGTTCCAAAAGCAAACCATGCCTGTCATAAATGTAGTTTCTCTTCCAAATAACAGTATCGTATCGTATGTGTCTTTACCTCGATGTTCAGTCAGTATGATCGACAGGCCCTTAGGAGCTGGCTAAAACGGCTCCTCAGCATAACGTCATCGAACACGGGAAAATAACACCTCATTCGTAGAAGAACGACTTGATTAAAATTGAGGAAAGGAACTTCAAAGTTTGTGATGTTTTTACACATAAGTTAGGCGAGTAAATCTTGGAGCAGATTTTAATTTGTAATGTATGCATGTCTATAGGGGATTAAAATCGCAAAATTATTTGTTTTCATGACAACTTATCAGTTTAATGGCATCGTTACTTGCTTTCTTTACTGTATTTGTTTGTTCTTTGCAAATTATAATTTATGACACAATTATCTGTCAACGAAACATACTTTCCTCGTATAACTACATTATATATTTTTTAACGTGGTTTCTTACTGTGGCTTTGTGTTTGTTTAATTTTTGTTGTCTTCATCCGACTGTCGTCGTCCGCGCCGAACCGCTGACATCGTATTCATATAATGAACTCTCCCACCTTGAGTTGCTTGTGGATATCCATGTTCTTGTCTTTGCAGTCGTCAACCTAGTTCATCTGCCCTCAGCCTGGTTTCCTGGATACGTTGCGCTAGCGCTTCACTGCTGTCACGTTACACGAGCGAAGGCGCAGCATACCCAGGGAACCGTGTAGCTGTCATTTGTCAGCGAGGCTGACGTATCTCATTCAGACCATTCAACAAATTCCATATTTGTTTTAATCAAAATTTCATTTTTTTAAGTCAGCATGTTAGATAACTTGTGGGGCTCACATAATGGCTAACCATTAGTGAGAAAATAGAAAATATCCTAAACCTTAAAAATGAATTTCCTTATCTTCTGTTTACATTTTTGTTCGGCTCCACGTGCGGCTGTCCAACCTCGATGGAGATGGCAATACGGCCACTTTCGTTCACTTTCATGCATAAAGATTTATTTCATACTCCTCAGTGTTGCAGGTGCCATGCCGTTGAACTAGATGGGTCGTTGGAGGAGACAATCTGTTTAGATTACAGACAGGGAGACTATATAACTATAGACTGTTGTAGAGTATCCCTGGTTCAGATTACAGTTAAAGCGCGTTTGTTTACAAACAAATCCTGTCACGTGATATGCAAATTATCTATGGCTTAGACTGGTTCCCGGTTCCACAGCTTCTCCGAGCAATTTAAAGAAACGACGAAAACCAGTCTGTAAACAGAGGCTGTATAATATATATAGATTATATGGTCTCTGCTACAGTGAATGGCTAGGTAAATGTGTACATTGTTAAAGTGTCACTGACGGAGTGAGGTGTTCAAGATCATATGATATGTCACCGTGCTGGAGGGAGCTCACATTGGGGAGTGAGCTATAGTTCGTAAGCTGATTCCCGACTCCCTTCCAAACAACACAGAAATTTCTGAACCGATGGAGTAAGCGAGTATGGTTTTACGACGATTTTAGCAACATTCCAGCAATACCAAGGCGGGGACACTAGAAATGGACTTCACTCATTGTATCTATGTGGGGAATCGAACCGGGGTCTTCAGCGTGACGAGCGAACGCTTAACCACCAGGCTACGTACCCCACCACCCGCAAACCGAGGAAACGATCGTACATCTTACAGCCATTCATGAACGACTCATTGCCCATCTGAAAGTATATCAATTTGATATAGGATTGTATATATATTATCGCTAAATTATGACACAACCGTGAAGATCCGGGTTAGCACTGGTCTTCAGTAACCCATGCTTGTCGTAAGAGGCGACTAACGGGATCGGGTGGTCAGGCTTGCTGACTTGGTTCACACAATCTCATTCCATTATTCCATTTATTACTTGTGTGTGTACGTACGTGCGCGTGTGTGTGTTTAACCCATAAAGATAATTTGAGTGGGTATATGATGTTAACAGAGCCTCAGGAAACCATGTATTTAATACACGTCTTCTGAAAAAATGTATTACTCTTGCATTGCCTACTTGAAGTACTACTGTAATAGCTTTTAATATTTAGATCAAAGTTGATATATCGGTTTTGTATGATTATGTATTGTTTTGAAACTCGTTGAACATTTCATCTATCACCTATTAGTACATATCAAAATGGATATTAAACTGAAATAAATCAATAGGGAAACCTCATCAGTCGTTTTGTAAACAAACGCACGTGTGTGGCTCTATCTCAGCTAACAACGCATATTAATAGAAAACAATTCCATTAACTGTGTACTTTTTAATATTAAAATGACGGTTTAGATTTTTCACGATTTTTAAACTAGCACATTTGACCTGACATATTTAAGTTCACGGGATTGTATTTTCAAAGTATCTCAATCCTTACTCTCGTTCTGATTAATTTGTTGTATTTTCTCGCATTCCATGATAACGACTGAAAATTCATCGATAGAGGGATGAGTCTTCTTACAGATTTACGGAAAGGGGCGATTGGTGACGAATTATTTTAGAAGATTTTAGACACTACTTAAAGTTTTGCCATTCAACCTAGAATGACTTAGGGACGTAGAAATAAAGGCGACACTGGAACGCAAACAACAAACATTTAGAATTTTGATGTAAACTAGCAACCAATAGAAACGCATGTAACAGTGCCATTATGCTATTCATCCACAGCCATCGTCTCATTGACCTGTACCGACTCATAAAATGCGATACGGGAGACGGGACCCAGCTTATGCAGTTCGTTGATGTGCCTGCGATATTTCCCGACATTGGCACTCGTTTGTCTGTTCGGCACAACTGTTTAGAAGTCGTTCGGCTTTTTGGGTATGTATATTTGCATGCATTTCTGTAATGATGTGTGTTGGTGTAGGGACTTTATGTTTTATTTAAAGGACAATTAATGTCTGACGATTTGTAAGACCGAGGCGAGATGCTGCCTTTGTTCTCGACTAGTTCGCAAACTATGATGCGATAAACGAAAGCGCATTAGTCGCTTTTTATTTACAATATAAGGTCGTATAATACATTTATTATATATGGTCTCTGCTTTCATCAACGAAAAGGGGGTTAAAAAGAAAAACAGTTTTTGAGTTTATATGGAATGAACAATTGTCAAGAAAGTTTGTGATGTCACAGACTTAGTAATTGTACTATTCTTGTGTGTATACAATTATGACAGGTAACCTAATGATTTCACCAGAGTATTGTGTTGAATTGGTTTGTTTGTTTGTTGACTGTATAACGCTGCATTCAGCAGTTTTCCAGCTTTATGACGGCAGTGTGTAAATACTCGAGTCTGGATCAATGGGTTAGAATTGATCTTCAGTATCCCATGCTTGTCGTAATTTAAGGCTACAAACGGCATTGGGTAGTCAGGCTCGCTGACTTGGTTGACATGTCATCATATCCCAATTGTGTAGATCGATGCTCTTGCTGTTAATCATTGGATTGTCTGGTTCAGACTCAAATTATTTACAGACTGCCGCCTTATAGCTGGAATACTGCTGAGTGGGGCGTAATCTAAACTTATTCACTCATTTTATCAGAAACATAAGATTCGTTATTAGGACAAAATATGCGTTATAGGAAATACACATTTGTTATACCATTCTATTATTACGAATATTGGCGATGAACAGCAAAAAAATATTAGGTGTTAAAACGAGTGTGCATTTGTTACTACGAAAATGTATTTCTGATATTTACACCAAGTTCGCAATGTTACAAAGTGTGAGAAACGAGTCCACCACTCATGAGGCTATGGTCTGTCTTTTATCTACACCATCGAGGAAAACGATTAAAACAAATCCATTCTTTCTTTTATGCTTTTATCTGACATTTTATAAATAACAATAATCGAAAAGTTGAGGAAGAAATAGTTCGCCAAGTGAGTGAGTGAGTGAGTTTAGTTTTATGCCACACTCAGCAATATGCCAGCTATATGGCAACAGTCTGTAAATAATCGGATCTCGACAAGACAATCAAGGGATCAACAGCATGAACATCGATCTACGCAATTGGGAAACGATGACATTTGTCCACCCAGTCAGCTCGCTTGACCACCCGATCCCGTTAGTCGCCTCTTAATTTCTCCCAGATGAGCGGGATGTAGTGTGAACTTTTGTTCACGATTAAAGTGATAATTATGTTTTAACTTTCAGGTAAGTATCATGATGATAAATGCCAAATAACACAACAGAAATACTTAAAAGAAAGGTAACTTTTGTTCAAGCTGGTAAATGTCAACATGCGGTCGAGACTCGCCTCTTCCATGTGCGCATACGCAAAATCGAAGTTGCGGGTTCCTCGTTTTATGATGCAGTGTTAGCGATTTAAAGTTGCTGTTTTTACTGTTTTAGCAGCGAGGTATTATGTTTATGATGCTATTTCCACGATTAATGTGGGCTTTTCTGCGTTTTTCTGCACAGTGGGAAAGTTTTCTTTGGTAGGCCTGACTTTGTTTAAAGAGTAATGACCCTCAAATGAGCTCACCTTACTCACCACCAAAGTAAACTATTACATTTCAGTAACTGTATGTTGTTGAAGGAGAATAGTATTTTGATTGTGTATGACGTCATAATGCATCATAGCGACGTCGTCATTGTTCAGACATTCCAGTGATTAACATCATGAGGATCGGTCTATGCACCTTGGACACAATTTCACATGCTGATCCAACAGTTGAATATTGATTAGGTCTTAGTTACAGAGGAGAACATACTGTAAACGTCTGCTTTTTTAAAGTAACTTCATATAACGGCTGATCCAACAGTTGTATATGCCTATCACCCAGACTGAACAATACTCTGAGTGATAACAAGGGCAGCAACAAATCCACTATGATGTGAATACAACATATGTCATGAATACTGGGTAACAAATACGAAAATTGGGTAACAAATACAATTTAGGAATTATTAATGACAGTTGGTACAGATTTGGCACCAAATATCTGTCTCTGAGAATGTCTTGATTACTTCCTGTACTGATCTTTTACAAATTATACATGTTCTTTTTGTTGTGATGATCTTGACTTGATACATATACTTTTCAGGTTCCTCCATATACTCCAGGAAATCAGTGTGAAAATGAAGGAAAAACTGAGTCACTCACTGTCCAGTGAGTCAGTACTGCAGCTGAGTTGCTTGTCTTTCCACTCTGAATATAGTTTATCACAAGTCTTTGTGTTAGACAGGGGCGGTGGGGTGGCCTAGTGGTTAACGCCTCTGCTCGTAACACCGAAGGCCTGTGTTTGATTCGGCACACAGGCACAATGTGTGAAGCCTATTTCTGGTGTCCTCCACCATGATATTGCTGGAGTATTACTAAAAGATAGCGTAAAACCCAATTCACTTAATCACTTATGTTAGACATTGGAATTCCATTTGGCGTGCTAAGAAATCTAATACTTTAGTTCTCTTTGTTCACAGATTCACACCTGCTATGCCTCGACTGTCTAAAGAACAGAGAGAGGAAGAGAAGGAAATGCTAGACAAAGGCTTCTCTCAGAATGAAATTTCCAGAAGAATGAATACATCTCGGAAAACTATCCACGATTTGGCCCGTAGGATAAAAACAACGGGGTCAACTGATGACCACCCACGCACAGGGCGACCTCGGATCATCCCGAGCCGAGATGAAACGTGGCTAGAATGTGCTGACAAAGAGAGGCCATTCGTATGCGCAGAGTGTGGCAAAACTTTCAAACTCTTCCATAGTCTCAAGAGGCATATAATGACTCACCAGGACGAACGCCAATACAAATGTGATCAGTGTGGCCGAGGTTTTATTAGTTCTGCTAATTTCAAGCGACACATGCGTACTCATACTGGAGAAAAACCTTATATTTGTGAATACTGTGCTCGAGGTTTTGCTGACTTGGGTTCTGTAAGGATACACATCCGTACTCACACGGGAGAACGTCCTTACAAATGTCACTTGTGCAGCAAGACATGTGCAACAGCTGGCAATCTCCACGCTCACATGAAAATACATAGAGATAAGAATGGAGGAGAGGTACCCCAGCCATTATTGGTGAATCCCCCAAGATACAAATCTGTGCCTATCTTTCCACAGATGGAACTGTTGAAAGCTAGAAACCAACAAGCATTGAAAGAACAGTCAGATAATGCTGAGGATAGTGAAGCATTTGATGAAGATATGATTGTCAAAGAGGAGAATGAATCTAATGAATGTAATGAGGACGGCCTTGAGGACCACCAAGATGAGGACTGCCTTGAGGACCACCAAGATGATCCACATATGCTCAGTGTGGATGTGTCTTCCAGTTCTGTAACCAATTTTCAAAAGTATCTGCCACCTGAAAAAGACCCTGATGCGTTTGAGGATCAACCTAAAGACATGGACTTTCAGAAGAGGTTCTGCCAAGCAATTGTAGCATCTTCTGAATCTGAACTGCCTATTCCTGTTGACCATATCAAGAAAGAACCTGACTTTGAGGAAGAGAGAAACTGATGTGGCTGTTCCACTGAGTGCCCTACATTTTCTTGTCATGTGTGTCTAGGTCTTAGTAACTGCAATAGGCTGTAGTCTTGTAGTTCCATGCTTGTGGGTTTCTTTAAGGAACATGACCTGCATTACTGAGGATGTAATCCAATATTAACCTGCTACCTCGATGTAACAGACATCTGCTGTGGTCAAGTGAACAGAGCATCTGTTCCAACAACAGGAGCTTGTCTGTTCATTCCTCTAGCCATGTTACACCAAAAACCTATGATTTTTCTGTTTTGTTTTGTATGCCCTAATGTCGTGATCATGGAGGTGACATTCGCAAATTGTATACTGTGGTTGTTTAATGCTGCAATAAAATATTTCAGCTATGCCCCTGCAGTCTGTAAAATATTTGTGGTGGAGGGTTAACTCATATGCTGCTGATGAATGCCCCACACAGTCAGACAAACCGGTGGTTAACGTGTTCAATGTCCAAGACTGTTAGACAAACCTGTGGTTAATGACATGATGAACATGTCACACGGTCAGACAAACCTGTGGTTGATGACATGATGAATGTGTCACACGGTCAGACAAACCTGTGGTTAATGACATGATGAATGTGTCACACGGTCAGACAAACCTGTGGTTGATGACATGATGAATGTGTCACACGGTCAGACAAACCTGTGGTTGATGACGATGATGAATGTATCACACGGTCAGACAAACCTGTGGTTGATCACACCGCGGTCAGACACCTGTGTCAGAGACAAACCTGTGGTTAATGAATGACAAGTTGAATGTGCCACATGGTCAAACAAACCTGTGGTTAATGACATGATGAATGTGCCACACGGTCAGACAAACCTGTGGTTAATGACATGATGAATGTGTCACACGGTCAGACAAACCTGTGGTTGGACATTAATGTGTCACATCAGACAAACCTGAATGTTGATGACATGATGAATGTGTCACATAGTCAGACAAACCTGTGGTTAATGACATGATGAATGTGCCACACGGTCAGACAAACCTGTGGTTAACGCGGTCAGACAAACCTGTGGTTGATGAATGTGAATGTCCAAACCTGTGGTTGATGACATGAATGTATCACACGGTTGATGACAAACCTGTGGTTGATGACATGATGAATGTGAATGTGCCACACGGTCAGACAAACCTGTGGTTGATGACATGATGAATGTCCCACACGGTCAGACAAACCTGTGGTTGATGACATGATGAATGTGCCACACGGTCAGACAAACCTGTGGTTGATGACATGATGAACGTGTCACACGGTCAGACAAACCTGTGGTTGATGACATGATGAATGTGTCCACACGGTCAGACAAACCTGTGGTTGATGACATGTTGACATGATGAATGTGGTCACACGGTCAGACAAACCTGTGGTTGATGACATGATGAATGTGTCACACGGTCAGACAAACCTGTGGTTAATCAACATGATTGATGAATGTGTATCACACGGTCAGACAAACCTGTGGTTGATGACATGATGAATGTGTCACACGGTCAGACAAACCTGTGGTTAATGACATGATGAATGTGTCACACGGTCAGACAAACCTGTGGTTAATGACATGATGAATGTGCCACACGGTCAGACAAACCTGTGGTTAATGACATGATGAATGTGCCACACGGTCAGACAAACCTGTGGTTAATGACATGATGAATGTGAATGTGTCACACGGTCAGACAAACCTGTGGTTGATGACATGATGAATGTGCCACACGGTCAGACAAACCTGTGGTTAATGACATGATGAATGTCCACACGGTCAGACAAACCTGTGGTTGATGACATGATGAATGCCACACGGTCAGACAAACCTGTGGTTAATGACATGATGAATGTATCACACGGTCAGACAAACCTGTGGTTGATGACATGATGAATGTGTCACACGGTCATACAAACCTGTGGTTGATGACATGATGAATGTATCACACGGTCAGACAAACCTGTGGTTGATGACATGATGAATGTCACACGGTCAGACAAACCTGTGGTTGATGACATGATGAACGTGTCACACGGTCAGACACACCTGTCAGACAAACCTGTGGTTGATGACATGATTAAATGTATCACACATGGTCAGACAAACCTGTGGTTGATGACATGTTGAATGTGTCACACGGTCAGACAAACCTGTAGTTGATGACATGTTGAATGAACGTGTCACACGGTCAGACAAACCTGTGGTTCATAATGTGTTGAATGTTGAATCATACCCTGTCACACGGTCAACAAACCTGTGGTCAACTGAGTTGAATCTGTATTAATAGAGAATTGTTATAGAAGCAGTTTCATGATAATCCTTTTAACAGAAACATAAGATTCGTTATTAGGACAAAATATGCGTTATAGACAATATACATTTTTTATACCGAAATCGTTCTATTATTACGAATATTGGCGATGAACAAATAAAAAGATTCGACATAAGTGTTATAACAAGTATGCATTTGTTATTACGAAAATGTAATATTGATACTTTCACCAAGTACTAAGTGTGAGAATCGATCTGTTTGAATTATTTTCCTTATGACAAAGACATGTCTATAACATCTGATTGCTAGTACTAACGAAATTGTTGTGTAGACTATTCATATGTGCGTTGTAATTAAAGTAATTTCTTAATAACAACTGTGTTTTCTTTATAAAGAATTTATGTTTGTGAAACGAATTTCTTTAGTCCAATATATATATAGGATATTTTTGGTGTTACAGCGAATTTAGTTTTGTAATAACGAATTAATTTTCGTAACAACGATACTTTCTTCGTTTCTTTTACATTCTTCAATTTAAACTCCCACATGTTTTCCTAAGAATGTGTATGTCTTGAACATCTGACTGAATAAATAATATCTTTCAAACGAGTCCATTGCTTTGGCGGCTACGGTCTGTCTTTTATCTACACCATCTAGAAAAAACAGTTTGGGGGTGAACATTTTTATTCTTTCACATATGTGAGTCGTTTTTTATGCTTTTATTTGATGTTTTATAAATAACAATAATCGAAAGGTTGAGGAAGAAAGATTTCTCCCAGACGAGCGGGATGTAGTGTGAACTTTTATTAACAATTAAAGTATTAATTATGTTTTTAACTTGTTCAAAGAGTAATGACCCTCAAATAGCTCACCTTACTATGTCTTACAAAGTAAACTATTACATTTCAGTAACTGTATGTCGTTGAAGGAGAATAGTATTTTGATTGTGTATGACGTCATAATGCATCATAGCGACGTCGTCATTGTTCAGACCAGACAAGTCAGAGCGGCGCGTGTTTTGAAAAAGTTCTCATCGTTTAAAACCGTCACTACATTGTTGCAGTAAAGGTATGTTCTGATGGTGTCCACCAGACAATGCATCTCTGATTGTAAAATCAGACGTTTTTAACCGAGCGTCGAGTTTTAAACTTGAAACGCCTGCTATGACCCAGCTCACGAAAAATGTGGAGGCGGTTGGAACATTCACAGAGAGCACGAGCCAAATGTGACCACGTGACCCCTTAGATAAACTTCGGAACTTGAGGTCATTGTTACAGAGAATATCATTATATTTTAACTGAACATAGAAGTATTAATGCCGATTGCATTGTTTGCTGTACGACTTGACAGATTTTATGTACACATGAAATCCTATGTACCCAATTTCACTATCAAGAAAATATAATAAGGCATTTTGGAGTTTCTTCAGTCGATGGTCTCGTTTCATAGTTCTGAAAGGTTATTTATAAATCTAATCAAACCATAATATTGTTGTTCATATATGTTATCGTAAATGTTAATCGCATTAGTTAAGATCGACTTTGGACAACCGTTTCTAGGCGAATATGTCTCTGGCACTAATCGACCTTGAAATGGAGAGCGACTCCTCTGATCCTGTAGGAACCGGGGAGAAAGCAGTCGAGGCCGAGAATACAGATCAACCCGGAGACAAATTAAATCGTGAGTTGTATCAATTGTTTTCAAACATTTTGCAATCCCAAAAATTCCAGGAAACTGTCTGACATTCTTAAACTACTGAAGATCCGGGTTAGAATCGGTCTTCAGTAACCCATGCTCGTCGTAGGAAGTGACTAAGGGTATCGGATGGGCAGCGTCACTGAACTGTTTGCTGTATGTCATTGTATTCTAAGTGGCTAGATCGATGCTTATGATATCAATCACTAGATTGTCTTGTCTAGATTATGTTATTTACAGACTGCTGTCATACCACTGGAGTATTGATGAGTGCGTCATTAAACAACCAGCAAACATTCCCTGCCACATATAGTTCTGTTTATTTATGAATGTAGTGTTTTAAGTCAAAGAAAACACAAACGATATAACCAATAATTTTACCGTAGGTTCTCACAGCAGTGAGCCAACAGAAACTCCTCGCAATCCTCGCAAGAAGGCAAAATGCAAGACGTATGCAGAGAAGACAACGGGCGGAAAGAAGGCAAAAGATGCAGTGAAGACAAAGGATTCAAAGAAGACGAAGGATTCAAAGAAAACAAAGGCTGAAAAGAACGCAAAGGATGCAGTTAAGACAAGGGATGCGGTTAAGGCAAAGAATGAAGAGGCATCGTATACAAAGAAGGAAAAGGGTGCAAAGAAGGAAAAGGGTGCAAAGAAGGAAAAGGGTGCAAAGAAGGACAATGAGCGAGACACGGAGAAGGTGGTACAGATCGAGAAGTGGGGAACCCTCCGCCGTATCGTGCATGTAAGGCCAGATCAAACTAACTATTTGTTTGTCGATGTGTCGTATTCACTGCTTTTCTTCTCGGGAAATAGGTCGTGTGGTGATTGTATCATCAGCCTCAAATGAACATATGTCCCTACAGATTGATACACGTTTAAGGTAAAAACAAGACCCGACATAAATCGGTTTATAGGTAACTCGTTGTTAGGCAATACATGAGATGCATGTAATGATTATTTGTGTGTAATCCGTCATCTTCAGACTTTTGACAAAACTTCCCCTTTGACAAGAGAGGCTCAAGTGATATGGAAATGTGACTTACTAGTTAGTATAGTCTATTCTATGATTTGCCATTGATAAGCGTCTTTGTCCATTATTCTATAATTTCTATAAATTATTTAAAAAAGTGTAAACCTAGCATAAATGAAGTAACATCCATGTCATGTAACATGGTCGTACAAAAAGAAATTGAAAAAGCAGCAAGGGCGGATTATGAAAACATATCAATTCCAAGGAAACTTGTCTTTTGATGAAACATTGCCAAAACATAATCATAATGGAATGATAAGTACATTTGAAGATATGATGCAATTCATTTACTTACAGGAGTACATCAAAAGTGTCATTTACAAGGTCAATTTGCTTCTGGAGTAAAATACTCCAGGAGTAAGTATACTTTTACTTTACCTCCGGAGCAGGTGTAAATTTACTCCAGGAGTATAAATACTTACGCGAGTGGCGTTTACGTGGTCAATTTACATACCATAAGTAAATTTACTTACATATAAGCAAACATACTTCAGTATGTAAATGTGTGCATGTAAAAGCGGCTTCATTTGTGTGATTCTCAGTTACAATTCTATTTTGTCCAAGGAAACACTTCCCAATATGTGCCATTTCTGTGCAGGCGTTAGGATTGCGGGCATCAGGCACATCCACATCTCCTCCCAACAGTGACGACTTTGGTTGTGACGATATCAGTTTTGATGGTAAGATTTCCAAATATCGGCGCACTTGTAAACGGAGTCTAGAAATTTGCACATAAGATATTTTCAGGAGTAATCGACACAGATATGAAATCCCTACGAGTAAATCCAGGTACACGCTGAATCTTGAGTTAGCCGGCCTCACTTGCCGTGTTTGTATTTGTTTAATAATCATTAAGGCGTCTGGTTACAAGATAAGTTTATTTCGTGAACTTCACCACCCAACCTTTTCGCGTACTCCCCTCAATATACAACCTCTTGTGTTCAGGTCACCTTTTCGCGTACTCCCCTCAATATACAACCTCTTGTGTTCAGGTCACCTGTTCGCCTACTCCCCTCAATATACAACCTCGTGTTCAGGTCACCTGTTCGCCTATTCCCCTCAATATACCACTTCTGTTCAGGGCATCTGTTCGCCTACTGCCCTCAATATACCACCTCTTGTGTTCAGGTCACCTGTTCGCCTACTCTCCTCAATATACCTCTTGTATTCAGGTCACCTGTTCGCCTACTCCCCTCAATATACTACCTCGTGTTCAGGTCACATGTTCGCCTACTCCCCTCAATATACAACCTCTTGTATTCAGGTCACCTGTTCGCCTACTCCCCTCAATATACCACCTCGTGTTCAGGTCACCTGTTCGCCTACTCCCCTTAATGTACAAAATCTTCTGTTTAGGTCATCTGTTCGCCTACTCCCCTCAATATACAAACTCTTCTGTTCAGGTCATCTGTTCGCCTACTCCCCTCAACATACAAACTCTTCTGATTAGGTCACCTGTTCGCCTACTCCCCTCAATATGCAAACACTTCTGTTCAGGTCACCTGTTCGCCTACTCCCCTCAACATACAAACTCATCTGTTTAAGTTATATGTTCGCCTTCTCCTCTCAATATACTACCTCTTCTGTTTAGGTCACCTGTTTGAGTACGCAACTCATCCCCAAGTCATCCCAAAGGTTGACGTTCCCCGCCTCCGTCTGCGGCCGACGCTGCGAGAGAGACTTTACAACATCGCCCACAACTTCTTCCGATGTGGATCAATTAAACACCACAACCAATACACCTTGGATTAGAACCGGGGCATATCTTCTCGTCGTTGCTACCAGTACCACGTGCTTGTCGTAAGAGGCGACTAAATGAGGATCAAGTGGCCACACTGTGTGACCTGGTTAATTGTACGTCACCGTACCCCGATAGCGTGGATAGATGGTCATGCAATTAACCACTGGTTTGCCTGTCCCAGACTTTATATCTGCAGGCAGCCGCGACACAGCTGGAATATGTCTGACTACGGCGTTACACAACACTCCCCATTATTATTACTGTTTGTATATTATTGTATGAATTATGGATTGTAAGTCAAAGCAGAGGATGAAATATAGCTGTCACTGTAACTCATTAAAACGTCAATCACATGTCAGATAAAATTCGGGTATTTATGCATGCACCCACGTACACAAACTTACCCACCCCCAACACACATGCACATGCACACGCACACGCGCAGGCGGATGTTGCCGTGTACGATTTATTGTCTTTTGTTTGTCACATACCGTGATCGTTAACATTTGAGGTCAAGAAAAATATTTTTATTGATGTATTTTGTTTATTTTCACCAATAAAGAATATAGAAAACATAAAGTTCTGTGTTCTTGTGTATGAAGGCCATTTGTCTCGCCCACAGGCTGGCCATCAAGGGATATGTGAAAGGAATTAACCGTATTCCATGTAGAATTCGGACTGGACTGGAAGCTTTGGACCACGAGTCTATGGTTATCCCGTGTTTATTCGTCTCATCTATTTCGTAAATACACTGGATCCATTTGCAAACACAGCCTAAAGTCATTTATGATGATGAAAATTGTTATTGTTCTGTGTTAATTCTCAACTGAAATTTAATGCGTTGAACGGGCGTGCTAGCAACATATGTAATCGTGTGATCACTGCTGGTCATTCTATTGTAGGTTCTTTTTGTAAGCTTTGACAGGCGCATTGACAAATATATTTGTTGAAAAAAGGCATTTTAAAAATGGTTAGATGTTCAGTCTGAGCGTCGAAGTCTTTTTCTCTTTATTGGTCCATGTGAAACCAGAGACTATATCATATATAATATATGGTCTCGGGTGAACAAGTACCTGATATATATAAAGAGATAACATTATTTATAGCTGATAACTAAGAAACTTAGCCAAATGGCAACATGTTTTTTACATTGGCAGCAGAGTTGGTACCTGGGAGATGTGATTTCTCGGACTGTACTGTTTAGTTCATATATACCTGTTGTGCGTAGGAAAACATTATCACTCACGGTGATAAGAGTGACTTCCCCTTAAAAACATCACGTGCAGGTGGGCAATGCACGAGTTTTCCGAGCGCCGTTTTCCAACTGGGGCAGTGCTGAATACCGCGAGGAATTTTGTTGAAGTTACCACAAACTGGCGACAAAGATGGGATGATATGACATTGACAGGATGTGCATGGACGCATTGTCATCCGAAAGGGAAACTTTATAATGCTTCATTGAGAAATTGGATACCACAGACAACCCCGAGGGCGTGAGGCTCAAGGTAAGGGCGGATAACTCATCCCGACCTCAGTCAGTGAGGGCTGAAACCCAGGTCATGAGGGTACCCTCAGTTTACGCTGATTTGAAGCAAATCCCTTCTACAAAGATGAGAAAAAGTATGTGTACTACAGGCTGTGGTAAATGGAAGATGTGTACTAGCTATATTTATAGCTAAACTTGGTTTAATGGTTTTGTTATGATGAAATATGTTTTTGAAAATTTGATTTTGGGGGGGATTTTTTTTTATTACACTCATGAAACTTTCTTATTTTAAAGAAAACAGTATATACTTAATAAATCATTTGAAACCTAAAACCCCTTGCTAATGCTAATCAGTGTGATTTTGTGAAAGTTTTTGTGGCTTTTTCAATGAGAAAGGGTCGTTCAGTCTAGAAAAGTTAGACAATTTGCAAATAAAACAAATTGGGAAAAGCTGAATGCAAAAATATATAAGGATCAGCTTTGTCTATTAAGAGCCCATGCCCTGTCTGTCTTAGTAATTCTACCATATCATTTAATTTCATGAGTTTATATTTAGGATATATATATTATATCTGTTTTAAAAGTAGTTATTTTATCAATGTGACAACAAGAATCATCAGAAGATGACTATCCCACCAGTTCCACATAAATCCTAAAATCATTTTTCTGATCCATAAACAAACCCTTACCCGGAATCAATTCTAAGTCTAGCCATTGAAATAAAATTTTAGTATTCTGAAAATATCAAAAGGCACCGCTTCAGTACTTGGCTGATGCATAAAAAGTTTCAGAAAGAAATAATGAACGGTTTTCAAGTTCTGCTCCGGAAGCGAAATGAATTACAGACGGACAGACAGACGGACGGACAGACAAGGTATTACATACTGGTGGGATATTAAACATAATTTTCACTGATTAAATGATTCCCTAAATCAAAGATTTATCATCAAGTAGGGCTAGACTAAACTAAACAGACCAACCGTATTATAATGATAACCACTGTTGGTGATGCCTGCAACATATCACACAAAACTAGAAACTTGTACTCTCACTCACTGCATATGCAACTATTCAATACAAACATATCTTCTACTTAGTTCCTTTAACACTTCTCCTTTGAATTTGTGGTTGACATACTGAGTGCAAAGACATTAATGCATGTTTTGGGAGAATTTCATCCATTTCCGTCTATTTCTTCTCCACTATTTTTGTATTTATAAAATCACTATGAACACCCTTGACCTTAAATTTTGTTCCCACCAATCAGCATTGATAAGGACACATTTGTGATTTAAAGATTTCATTTTTTCCACCCAAAGTGAATATTTTATGTACGGTTGTCACTATTTCTGTTTTGTTTGTTTCTCGAGGTCCTGACGGTGCCATTTTTGTAGGATTTTTCACATGAGATATATGGACAATAAAAATCAATAAAAAATATGGTTTTCTTTCTTAGTTTCATATGAGATAAAACCATTTTTCTTATAATAATATCACATGTTTGGAAAAATCATTGAGCATAGCTACACTGAGGGCAAAGTTTCTCAGACGGTGGGTTGCAAGAACCAAGGACATATATTCGATATATACCTAGTTCAGCCATCTAAACGTTGTGTACCTACCAAGGTATACACCTTGGATAAACCGTCCACAAAGCCTTATCTAAACCACTGACTATTTCGGAAAGAAAGATGTCACTTTTGGAAATGGAACCAATTTAAGAGGTGGGTAATTTAGGGACCGTTCATAATCTCTCTCTATCTCTCTCTCATATGATTTTAAGGAGGGCTCACCCGTTTTTATGTGTGTGTGTTTTTGTTGTTGTTGTTGTTGTTGTTGTTTTTTTTGGGGGGGTGTCATCAATTTTGTACATAATTATCAATTACGGGGTGTGCTTAAATAGGAATGAGTTCCTTCCGTTCCCCTAAACCTATCCCTAACTGAAATTTTGGACTTTTAGTCATTTTGTGAGAGTCTCTAGTAATTGTTGTGTTAAGTTTTGTTAATAATTTTAGTATATTTATAAATATTATTTGGGATGGGGGAACAGGAGGAACTCTTACAGCTTAAATATTATGGGGAGGGGGTCATTGATTTTTGTAATGATATGCAGGAGGGTCACTTACTTTGTACTTAAATTTGGGGGGAGGGGTGGGGTTTTGCATTCACATTGTACATTCTTCTGCATAAAATTCATCATCACACACACCCAACCACCACAACCCCACACACCCACCCTTGCCATAAATTATGAAATGATGCGATCCCTTAGACTTAGGTGCTGAGCGAAGAACTTTGTGATAGACTTTGTTTGGTGTCAGAAATGACATGTCAATCATTATAGACTTAGGCTGCCTTGCAAAGATAACCTTTCTTCAAAGAAGGTATGGCTGCCTTGCAAAGATAACCTTTCTTCAAAGAAGGCTATTGACATCTTTTTTCTACCCTCATAGACATACCTATAATGACAAATCGATAAGTTGCGATGGAACTTGCTGAGAAAAATAAGTTAGGATTTCACCAATCGATTGATGAAGGCCATTGGCACCTGGAACCACACTCTGAGAAAAGCCTGACACAGTAATTCGGCTTTGTTCGGACTTGGCATGACGTTATTTAGTCTCCTCGGAATATCATCCCAAAGATGTTCAATTGGGTTTAAGTCAGGACTAAGGCCTGGCCACGGCATAATGTTGACACATTTATGCTGTAGGAAGTTCCGTGTAGCTCTGGCAGTATGGGCCCGGGCGTTATCATGCTGGAAAATGTTGTTCTGGCGACATGCGAAATGTGGTATCACGTGGGGTCTGAGAGCTTGGTTGATGTAGCGCACCGCTGTGATGCCGCCTCCTCTCCCTGGACCAAGGTTCTGGAACACCACAGGACCCACTCTCTGGTTCAGGCCTATTCCACCCCATACCATGATGCTTGCACCTTCCCATGAATCTCTTTAATAACACATTGGTCTGTGTAACGCTGGCCACGTCGCCATATTCTTGTTCTGCCATCTACAGTTGATACGCAGTACCGACTCATCTGTGAACAGAAAAGTTCTGTATCACCAGTTTTGGTGTTGTAGGGCAAACTGTAGATGTTCACGCCGATGACGAGGGTTGAAGATAGGTCCACGGTAAGGTCTACAGCAATGGAGGTTCTGTTAAGACATCGGCATACTGTATCAGTACTGATTGGTCTTCTTGTGTTGCCACTGTCTGGCGTGCTGTTTCGGATGCCTACAAGAAGAGACTCTGTACATGATGTCGCACAACATGGCGGTCTTGTCGTCTTGTGGTAACGCTTGGTCCGCCAGTACGGGGGAGATCATTTGTGGTGTTGGTGGCCCGCAAACGTTGCTGCAGCCTGGAGATGGTCCGAACGTTGACCTGGAAGTGATTGGCAATGGCTTGTGCAGTGTGTCTTCCTAGCGCCTGGTTCCTCTGTGCTGTCGTGAGTCGCGGCATCCTGCTGACATTGTAATGTGAATGTTTCAACCAGGTTTGGGGGTGCAACCAGGTTTGTAATGTGAAGCATGTTTCATGGAGAACACCGTACCATCTCAGAGGTCAGGTAAGACCATTTCCTGTTCATCTTTTGGGAAGGAATGTTTTGAGGTGCCTTAGCAAACCTGCTGCGACCAAACTGATGTTTCTTTTATTAAGTGTTTGAAAGCAAGTCATCTTGCTTTGAGGTGCCTTAGCAAACCTGCACCTAGATTTTCAAAGCTCTCCTAGTGTTGGCTGTAAGTGCCATACATTAACATTAACTGAGGCTATCTTATTCTTAGCTCACAGAGACCTTCCAAAATCTAGGCCCTGATTCTAAACAGGTATGGCCATGCATACTATGTGGTAGCTGATAGCTGTCATGGTCCTACAGTTTACATAATCCTGCCATGCGGCCAAGAACACCACCTTCATAGTTTATTATGTATTAATTTTTTTCAAATTCTTTTTTATGTTAACTGTTTTATTAATGACCATATGACCATAAATTTAGATAATAATAGTCCAGTGACCCGTTCAG